ATATCAGTCATATCATAATCATGCAATACATCCCTATGCATATACCATGATTTCTGAAGAGTTTCAGCAATCCTGGTGTCTCTGACTTTGACTTTGGAGGTTGATATATCCATGAACTGGCCATGAAAGCCAACCACTATGGTGATTTTCACATCTCAATTCTTGATCTTGCTCATATGTTATAATATGGATATGGATATCTATATCTCCCATTAGAATATCACATTAATCACCCATCAATCATGGTTGAAATGGTATGGATCTATGCTCATTGTCCCATTGTCAACAACCTTGTACTATTCATTTATAATATGTATATATATAATATACACCGTATACAGTTACCCCCAAAAAATAGACACCTTGGAAACAGCCTGAAAGGTGAGGGCCCCCAGTTCTGTGTGTTGGTAAAACTATATAACCCTATAGCCAGTTATAAATGGGATGAAATAGTTCTTGCAACTAGTGACATATCACTAGCTCCTGCAACTAGTGACATATTACGTAAACGAGTCTTTTTTTCCAGCCAGTTTTAACTGTGAACTCTAGTATACTGTGAAACTGAAGGTGACATCCAGGTCAACATAGGTGATCAAACCAATTGACTGCCGTGCACAGCTGATTCATCCTATCATGTCGCCGTTCGAACGCCGAATGGCTCAAGCGACCGCTGGCAACAAAAGGCGGCGCTGCACATGTTTACCAAGCAAGTAACCTTTCTTGTTTGGGGGCTGTCAATTTCAAACTGGCAGCGGAGCATCGACTCCTGGGGACATTTGGTTTCCTGTTGGCAACGTTGGTTGACTGACCGGTTTGCTAGGTGGGCCCCAAAACAACCTGCACTGACCTTAGGTCACGGTTCCGAAGCCATGTCTGCTTTGGAATGCCTTCATTGGCGCAACTTCAACCAGACCTCCGACGACCTGGTTGGAACTGAGGGGAAGAATGGCGTGCCACGCTATGACGGCGAGGCGGCGAAGTTGGCCGAGTACAGCTTCCGGGTGAAGATGATGGAAGCCCGTACAGCTGCCATGGACCAGACAGAAGCCAAGAAACTCGGGCCATTAGGCTTGAGGTTGATCGAAGGACTTCGTGGACAAGCTCTACAAGTCGCCAAAGGACTAGATGTGAAGAAGCTGGCAACTGACGATGGACCGACTTTGCTGGTGGACACGCTCTACAAAGCCTTCAAGCCTCGAAGAGATCAAGAAGCTCGTGAGCTCTACAACGCAGGAGCTCAGACCAACGGTGTGTTGTCCAGGCAACCCACTGAATCTATGACGTCTTTCTGCCTGAGGAGACGGACTTGGTATGCCATGCTGCGCGACCTTGACGACTCCCTGCAGCTGCCCGACAACCTGTTGGCCGAGCAGACTCTGGTATGCGCTGGGCTGAACTATGATCATCAGCTGATGATCCGCACTGCACTTCAAGGACGAATCACGGTCAACTCCGTCATGGATGAGTTGATCGCCCAGCACAGCCGCATCCACGAGATCGAGGCGAGACGTGGTGGTGACTTCAGTCATGGACGAGGACGTGGAAAGGGCAATCGTTACCCCTCTCGATTGCAGAAACCCTGGCAGTCATACCACGCTGAAGATGATGGAGAATGGCATGGAGAATCATGGGACAACTCATCGCAATCGCTGGGTGGCTATGAGGATGAAGCCCAATCCAGCTACTATGGATCGACGATGAGCACCTATGATGGGGAGACCTACAACTCTGAGGAGCACTACGACGATGCGGATCCCTACATCGACTCCTATACCAACCTTGTGGAGTATGGCTTGGACGAGCACAACACCGAGGCCCTGGACTATGCCGCTGAGATCATCCAAGCTGAAGGTGAGATCTACTTCGCCCACAAGCGAGCACAACATGCAGGACTTGCTGGATTTGGAGGATTCGTGGACAAGGGCAAGAGTAAAGGCAAAGGCAAAAGCCGTATGACCAACGATGAGAAGAAGGCAAGAATCGAAGCTTTGAAGAAGCGAACTGTCTGTCGCCGATGTGGACAGACAGGCCATTGGTCTACGGATGCTGTTTGTCCGAAGAACCGACAAGGTTATGGCAAGGGAGCTGGACCGACCTCACCGACTTCATCTGGAGGTGGAAGTCCGAAAGGTGGCAAAAGCCCTGGAAAAGGATCTCCGAAGCCCCGCATGGTCTACTTCACTGTGAATGAGTACACTGGCTACAATGGTGATGGATCGGAGAATGCGGAGTCCTACATGGCTGTCAACCCTACACCTGGTGGACGAGAGCTGACTGCTGATGAGATGTTGGATCAAGCTCTTGCAGAACATCATGCAAGGCAACTGGCTGCCGCTGCTGCCGCGCCCAACCTTCATGCTCTTCCTGGTGGACTTCCTGAACTACCTGTACATGGTGGAGTACCTCATCAAGCTGTTGCCCAACCTGCTGCTCTTCACCCTCATGAACTGCCACCGGATATGCAGCTTGTGCATCACCGTGCAGCCGAGCATTTGGTGCCAGTTCCTGAGGATGACATGGACTACGACGACATGACGCCTCCCTTCACTGCCTTTGGACAGCAAGTTGCACTACAACCTGCACCGGCTACACCAATGAGAATGCCAACACCTGCAGCGACGAGCCCAACGCCCACTGCAAGATCTACATCTGCTGAGGTCTTCTCTACACCGCCTTCTGGACCTGCTGAACGTGAATGTGAGCACAAGAGAACTACGAAGCAAGGATCGAATGCCCACACCTTGCGTGAGAAGTGCTTGGACTGTGGAAAGCTGCTGAAGTCTGAAGCAAGAGAAGTGCTGAATTGCATAACCTATGGGCGGTTAGTTTGGGTTTTGGTTTTTAACTGGTGGCTATGCGCAAACGTGTTTTAAAAAAACAACTTCCAAGTATACAAAATCCAAACTATTTGTATTGAATCAAACTGGCTGAACATTGAAGATATGGAAAAACAAAAGGGGCGGGATATGATGTATGCCTAAACTTTGTATGTGCATCACCAGTTGCAGGCCGCCTGCAGACATGTACAATCAAATCTGGCTTGGATGCCTTCAACTGCAGTATACTGGCAGTATCCTGCGCAAAACATAGAACTAACAACTACCAACATAAAATACTAAAAATAGGAATAGGATATCAATAATATTGAATGAACAATGGGCAGACTTATACATACACTGAGTCATATCGACACACCATTGGCCACACACACACACGCACACATCGTTGGCTCCACTTCCCATGCTGTGAAGCATTGCACATAAAGTTCAACATGAATGAACTTCAATGATTTCAGCCTTCAGTGGCCTTCAACCAATGCTTTCGATAATTTATCGTTGTGTGTGGGCGATGGTGCTACTGGGAAGCTCACCGCAAGAATTCGCTGCTGGCGTACAGACTAAGAGTCGAGATGCCTATGCACTGCTGCTGAAGGCAGCACGGCCAGTTTTACACTATGGATCACAAGAGGAAGATGCTTGTCTATGAATATGTCATTGCTGCTCACTGCTGACTGCTGAATCAAATTTTATTAGCAACAGCACCATTTGTTCACAACAGATGCTTTGAGTGTTTCGTATAAATTGGGCATTTCCATTTCCATTGCCATTTTATTGTTCACAGTTCAGGTTCAGTTCTGTTTTTTAACTTTACACTTGTGAATCTCAGAATCACCCACATCCAAACAAGGAGGAACGGAGTAGTATGTTGGATCAATTTTACATCTGCATTGCATGCCTGCACTTCAGGTTCACGCATTTCGAGATGCCGCAATGATAATCTTGGAGTTGATGCATGTCACTTGGTTCAATTCAGTATGAATTCTGAAGCGAAACCCACTACTGAAATGCAACCAGAGTTCAGAGTTCAGAGTTGTTCAGAGTCTTCAAAGTTTAAATCTAATCCAATCCAATCTGGAAAAAAATGAGCCAGAGCCAGAGCCATAATTCAATCCAATCTGAAGCCTCAGGCTCAACCAAAGAGCCAGGTGCAGATATTCCAAGAAGCCTTCACACCGGACGTTGTTGGACGACAGGGTGGTCGACCAGCATACTCACTGGTTCAGCTTTATCGCTGTATGGTCCTGACCCTTGGATTGGTGGCTTAGGGGTAAAGTCTGAAGTCTGAAGATTCTGAAGCTTAGTACCATCATCATACTGCTTGTTTGAAGTCTCATCAGGCCTCAGGCTTAGTACCAGCGGCCTCAGGAACAAGGAGCTTCGAAACAGCGCTCGCTTCAACTGTGCCCTCACTGCAGCCTTGCAGTTGGCAAGCGGTGATCGAAATGTGGGCCTGGAGTTTCCCAAGGACAGCGGCAGTTGCCAGTTGCCAGTTACATAGGTATACACATACACACACACATAATGAAAAAAAACTATGAAATCAACTTGACACTTGACTTGACTGCGTGATAGATAGCCCAAGCCAGGATGTTATTACATGTTATTACAAGTGACAGTGTCAAGAGAACCGGATCACTGAACTGAACGGCTGATATGTTCGAATTCTATCACCTGTGTGCTGTGTGTGCCTGTGTTGTGTTGCTATTACCTGGTAAGATACTCTTAAAGATACTGTAAAGATTATCTTACTTAGTTAATATGGAATGAATGGATTGGCTTGATTTGCCGCAGAAGCCTCCTTGTATCAAGCCAGCCCATCTGAAGACAGTGGCATACCATTTGTTCCAAAGTGGTGCAACATGGACAGTGCGACTTTGACAACACCTCTTCGAATCATCCGAAGCGAGACGAAGGTGATAGTGACGCCAGCAAAGGTTTTGAACCCGACGAAGACGGTGAAGGATTCGTCAATTTCAAAGTCAGTCTCCAAAGTGAAAGCTGGTTTGAATCTTACGGATGCCAAAGTTACAAAGAAGGCCCATCAGAAGTCTTTGAAAGATTTGATTTCTGAAGGTAACCTCAAATCAAAGTCAAAGGCATCCTTTTCCATCTTTAAAGGGGGGTATGAACTATCCTTGCGTGAAGTCATCCATGGGTGGTTGCGTGAAGTCATCCATGGGTGGTGGTGCTAAGTAAGTGTGATATATCCAAAATTCCAGACTGAGTATTTATGAAATATATAGACTAGACACTAGACATTGACATTATGATATATATATATATATACAGACATGAATCATATAATCATATATGTACTTACTTACCTGTTGCTTGTTGCATCGCCCATCTTTGGCTGACGTATCTTAGGAGCTAGGAGCTGTCATCACAGGTCTAGATAGCATCCCTGTGGGTGGAGATTGCTTGGAAAATGCCCAATGATGGCTCCTTGAAATCTTTTCTATGTTGACTGGATATGTACAGCGTGTCCAATGTCCGGATGTGACATCTTCATCTTAGAGTCAACCGACTGCCGTTCTTGCAATGAAAAATACATTGCGCCCAGTGGCACCCAACCACTGGCAACTTCCATTTTCTGATGTGGCTCTTGTGTAAGTCGTATCATATCTTGTACAAATATTGGTCCGAAATCCGAATCACCGAATCCACAGCCACAGTCCACAGTCCACAGTGGTTGTCATAGTGATGGTATTCTTAACCAACAACCAGATTCAAGATTGGATTTGTCATGTGTCAGTGTCAAGTGCTTCCATCATGCCTAGTCAATTGATTGCTGAATTTTTCAGGAGGCTGATGGTGCACGCCCAGAACCTGAGGGGCCACATGCATCAACCTTCAGCCGGGCGCGTGGCAAACTGGATGTTTTTGGAATGCTGGCGCGGCAATGGCAGTGGCGCCAGGAAGGTTTTACTTCACGATGGATCAGCCTTTGTTTCTGAGCTTTTTTTTGTCACTTCACTGACAGAGTCGCATTGTCAAGACCTCAAGTCCTCACTAAATCCCAAAGGTTAAACGAACCCGAACCAAATCACTAAATCTCAATGTTTCAAGGGTTCAACGGTTCAACTCGTTCAATTCAATGTCTTTCAAAGTAAAAGGGCGTATGGCATCCCCACGCCACACCCCCAAGGTTATGATGCTACACGCCAAGCAAGGGAACTTTTCATATGTGAGGAGTATGCAACAAAGCAGCTGGGTGAAATTGGGACAGCAGTTCAGCTCAGTAGTTTCTTCGTGCAAGAATATGACACCCATACAGCCATACATTTGTGACAATTGAATTGTATCATACCATAATCTCGCTCACGCTCATTACGCTCATGTCATATTAGCAACAAATTGTTGTATGTAAGAAGTTCACTGGGCTGAGCCAAGCTAAGAGACACAATGTCAAGAGCAAGAACTCAATAGTAACCAACAACCAGTCAGTTGTGTTGCCACCTGTCACCTGTCATAAGCACATGTTGTTGAACGTAACGAATTTCATCATGGGCACTTGGCACGCATCACTCCAGGACGGTGGAGGCTGTCAAAGACTTTTGTGCTTCAATTGCATCGAATCACCCAGAGGATGCAGCTGCAGCCATCGAGGATGGTGCAGGGTTTTTATCCGCCAGCAGCCTCAGTACCACCTGCCGCGTGTTGCCCATCGTGTGCATGGGGAAAGGTTGCTTGGTTTACTGTTCAATTTGTGTCAAAAAAAACTTGAACTGTAACCTGCCTTGACTTGACTTGAACAAGAATAAGTTGATTCGAATTGAACTTGACTGGCAAAGTGAGATTGGTAACAATAACCACAATGATGCACTAGACTGGGTAGTTGGTTTTTCTTGCCAGTAGATTTTGTTTAGCGCTGCTGCCCACTGCCGAGGATTTACCGCCTTGGTTCACAAGGTAGATGCCCTTTTGTATGCCCTGGCGCTTGAAGTCAACACAGGCGACAGGCAACAAAGCATCCGCCAATATGGCCACCGTGTGATATCCTGCTTGTCAGATCAGGGTGCCTTTTCTGAGTTATTTGGGACATTTTGGTGACTGACTGAACTAAGAACAAATCTCAACAAATACTGAACCACATCACACCACACAAGAACAATAGCCAACAAAAATATGAAACAATGAATATGATATGAATGCAATGATATCATAAAGGTGTTGAATAGAAGCCAGGTACAGTAGTACAGGCTCTAACAAATCTTAGGTACAGAACTGAAGTTGGCCGAGACGGTTCTTGTGGACACCAAACAGCTTTGTCAAGACCTCTCCCTGGACATCATCAAATACATGCAACCCGGTGCAACCATGGATGACCTCATGGGGATTGGCTTAGAACCAGCAAAAGCTGTGACAAATGGGGAAGGCCGACAAGCAGACCCTGGTTACTGGTGTCCAAACATGTATTCTTCTTCAAAGCCATTGGAACTAGAGCCGGACGCACCTGAGTCTTTGGTACCAGCCCAAATGCAAGCAGATGTCTGGGAACCTGCCGCTGCGAGCGAGGATGACCGAACATCCAAACTATTCCCAAACGCATTCAGGATATCTGGCCTGAAGCATGTTTGTGACAATCTGTGTGGATCTATCTTGGCAGGACTGCCGCAGCTTCTTGTCAAAAGTTATCCCGTGCGTAGCTTGAACCAACCTCCTCAACTCTTTACTCCATACAGTCTATGAGGCATTCAAATTGGGACTTGAAAATTAAGAATGAAAGCTTAAATGGTTGAACTGAACCTGGCTTCATTGCTTAGGTGGTCTGATCTCTTACCTCAGCTTCAGTCATTGGATATTTTGCTGAGCGCTATCACCTGGCGAGAACGCTTTGTTGCTTTGTGCTTGAGCGATCGGAGCATGGAGGACAGGAACAAGGTTCTCAAATGGGGGGGAGAGTCGCTGACTGGTTTGCGGTGGCAGGTGGTGTCTGCATTCTGCAGGGAGGTTTCATGGTTGACTAGAATTATGTCTTTTTCTTTTTTTCCTCCAGCCAAGAAGCCTACTTAAGTAGCAGTAGCAGTAGTAACAGTAGCTGTATTTAATACTAAGTAGCACCAGCACATTGACATTCTGCCAACAGGTCCTTCCTTTTGAGCAGCTTCTTCGCAGTTCTTGGAACACCAACAGATATCTGACAGCAGGGCCAGATTCGAAGAAAGCATTCCTGCTTGAAGAGACGTCCAAAGTCCATGTTCAGCGCATATCCAAATTGATGGCCAGCGATTATGCATGGGCTTCAATCGCGATGGTAGCGCTTTTGAGTGGTGACAGTGATGCGCTTGGCAGCTGGGCTGAGGGATGCCCATGTCACCCGTCCTCAGACATCGAGAAGATTGTGTCCTTCCGAGCCAAGCGCCAGGCGAAACAGAATGCCAAGGAGTGCGTCTTCAAGTGTTGCCGTGCCCCCGAATTGGCATGTGGGCATGGCCTCAAGCATGTGGTGGTCAGACTGGTGTCGCATCGGGCTACTTTCGCACCATACGTGGCAAAGGCTCCGGCGGCAAAGAGGTCGGAACTGCTTAGCTCTTGGGAAGCAGCATGCACCAAGCTTTTTGGAACCTTGCCATTGTTTTCGTATTAAGAGTGTACGCCATTGAAGTTCACTCACTCAAGACTCATGTCACAACTTCTTCAGTCGAACCGAGTCGGGTTTAGTTATCAATTCAGGCAATGCCATGAAATCAACATCAATTTAACATTTCCGAGGACATATCTATGCAAAACTTGGATACTGGAGGGAGCTGCCTTGGGTCCTATGCACCTTGGTTTTGTTTCTCGGGTGAGCGGGGAATGAAGTATAACTGGGAACTGAGTACTGGGTACTAAATACGTAGTACCAAGGATCAATGCAGAAACACTAGTCAAGAATCAAGAATCTGGTCAGCGTCAGCTCTATGGTTCGGTCACTTAGGTGGGCTTGCGTCACCTCATGAAGGTGATGTGCAACGCATTGCTCATCATTGCCTCAGACTTTGGGACGGACCTGCATCTTCGGGGCATACCCATGCTCAAAGCCGGAGGTTTTTGGACCCCAACTGGACGGGCTTGAGTTCAGAGAGCCAGGATTCAGACCCTCCACTCAGAGAACTGGTCGTGGCTTTAGCTGATGGAGCGACAACAATGTCTGACATCATGTCTGGTGAATCGCTTCAAGAACAAAGCTTTGCGGAGTGGGTTTCAGCATTTCGATTGGCGTCTTGGTTGCCATGCAGTGAGCTACTCTTGAAATTTACCAGAAACTAATTTGACTTCCCTTGACTGCTTAGTACGTAGCCTTGACTTTCTGATTTTAGCGCTACCAGCAGCGGCAGTGCAGTGCAGTGCATTAAATGGACAATGTTCAAACAAAGATCACTGTTTCTTGGGTTCGTTGGATATGCAACAAACACCAACACTGACACCATACCGACACCATTCAGTACTTGACCAACATGTCATAGATGTAATTATTCTGTTTCACCATGATGTCTCTCCCCTCCTCTCCCCCACTCCCCTCCCCTCCCCTCCCCTCCCCTTGGAACTTTATTTTATAAGGTTTAAACTGGGAATACACACTGTTAGAACCAGGGCCCCTCCAGCTTGCTACCTCACCCCTCCCCTCCTCTCCCCTCCTCTCCCCTCCTCTCCCCTCCTCTCCCATCCTCTCTCCTCCCCTCCATCCTCTCCCATCCTATCTCCTTCTTGCTGTACTCAATACTCAGGTTCGAATTGCCGAGAGATCAGTCGAAGGCAGGCACAGCAGAATTCATCGGGTGCTGAAGCGCGCCCCGCGAAGTAGCGTGGCCTACCTCAGTCTCGAGTTACGCTTTTGCTTGCTGCAAGAGTTGGTGTCTACACAGCCGGAATGTATGCGTAGCTTACTTGGTGCATGGACCAGACTCGAAACGACAAGTGGGATGGTTCGGGCAGTCATGCCACTCTGTTTGAGTTTCAATTCCCATTTCTTTGTGATACTATGTGCTATGTACCACAGGGAAAGCTTGGGAATTTGGAGGATAGATTTGATACGGTTATATTAACCAATGATCTTATATTGATCAAATGTTGCAATCATAGCATCACTTGTGACAATGACATTGACTGACTGACTGACTGACTGACTGACTGAGGTCCCTTCTTGGTCTGGATGGAGCAGCAGAACGGTTTCTATCAGGGATGAGCGTCGCCGAGCTCACGAAGCTCATCTACAGAGACCACATTCCGATGAAGCACGCAAGCAGGAAACGACTGAGCGATGAGATCTCCACGATCGAAAACAGCAGGGCATGTGAGCGACCACTTCAGAGACCTGCTTTGGAAGAAGCTAGCGCTGACACTGGCACCGATCTGCTATCCCAGCTGCTGGTGAAGTATCTCATGCAGGTTTCTGTGTTCATCAAAACAAGTTCTGTTCCTGCTCGGTCCAACAATTTTGTTCAGGACTGGGCTGGCTTAACTTTCCAACAACTTGATAACAACAACCAACAAGTGTTTCAAGTGTTTCTTGTTTTTTTGTGGCTTTAGTTTAAATTTCATATATATATTTATATTGTTTTACAAACATAAACACCTCCTACTACCTGCCTGCACTATATTTTTAAAAAATACTTTTGCTGTATACTACTTACTTACTATATATACATATATGATATACTGCTATACTTAGATGCGAATAGAACATAAACCATAAACATGAAACATGTGTGTTGGTGTTGTTGTTGTTGTTGTTGTTGCTGGTGGTGGTGGTGGTGGTGTTGGTGTTGGTGTTGTTGCTGTTGCTGTTGCTGTTGCTGTTGCTGTTGCTGTTGCTGTTGCTGTTGCTGTTGCTGTTGTTGTTGTTGTTGTTGTTGTTGTTTTTAACTATGCTCCACCTCGCCACACTAACCTCAATTGCTCAGGTTGCGAAGCAACACATTTCAAGGATTTTTTCCTTGGATTTCAGAAGCTTCAAAGACTGCGACAGGGCTCTGAGCAACCAACTTGGTTGTGCAGCAGCAGAGCCACAAGGAACAAGGGCACTTCAGCTGGAAACAGATTGTCCGACCTCTCTGGTTCCTGCTTCCATGGCAGAGCAATTTGGAACACTTCCTTCAGCGGCTGGTGATCAAGTCTTTCTTCGACCAGTGGATGGAAACCTTGCCTACCACACATTTCTTGGAGATGGGTTCCGGTCAGATTTCGAATTCTTGGGCCAAATCATGACCATCATGAAATCTGAAATGGACAATGGCAAACTATGTGAAGTGATTGTTGGACCATCGATGGGAGCACCAAGGGCCATCACACTTTCAAGGGTGCCATTTGAGCGGCTTTCGACGTCTTTGAAGATATGGGACGCAGGCGAAACTGGCTATCAAGTTCAGTCAGGTGTGAATGTGTCTCTTGATTTGGTTTGGTTAGTGCTAGTGGTTGTTGGCATTCATGCAGCGAAGTTCAGTGAAGGGAAGGGACAAGTTTATAATAATCCAAGGTCTTATTTTGGCGGGTTAAGACTGAAGAAGACAATGAAGGCATTATGTTTTAGTTACGCTGTCACTGCAGTTGGTTTTGATTTGGTTTGGTTTTATTTATGTTGTTACTGTTGCTTCATTGAGTTTTCCTAACTAAGGTCACTGGAAGCATCTGAACTTCTTGTCGAGATGGCTAGCGCAGGAGCATTCTTCAGCAACCAGAAGGGGTATTACATCAACCCAGAGTCAGATATACCTGGATTGGATGTACTGCTGTCGAAGCATTGGGTCAGACACTTAGTCACACTGTGACCTGAAGACTCTTTCAACAAAACACAAAACCATTTCAGCCAGAGAGGCACTGACACTGACATCACAGGAACCTGGTAGTACAATAGTTTAGATTAGATTTAGTATCATTTAATATATTTTAATTATGTATTTTATACATAATGAAATTTAATTAAAAAAACAATACGAATTTCACCCAATTTCACAATTTCATAGTATAGGTAAGTGACCGGTTCAAAGACTCAAGACTTCTTGGATATCATCAATGACAGTGACAGTTTGAAAACATACTGTCTACATACGACCACTACTTTATTTGATATGCCTACTGCCTACTAAGGTTGCCCAGTTCCACAACAACCTGGACACGTTCAGCATCACCACAAGTGGGCGCAAGACATTGACGGTGACTCAATCATTCTGTGATCCACAGCCACTTGCAAAGTTCCGGCTGCATGCAGGGGAGCATGGTAAGGGAGACTACTCCGACCACACCGCATATGAGTCCATGCTGGAACTTTCCTCAAGGGGATGGGTCTATCAACAGAGGCCAGGTTCGAAGCAGTTACCTTCCTACAAGAAGGGGGGCCATAAGGTGTGGTACTACTGCAAGCATATTTGTCGCCAGTACCTACAAGTTCTGTTGCTTTCGGAATCGTTGTTTGCAGCCGGGCTTCAGGAGATATGTCACTTTCAGGCTACAGCGTACTACAGGACGTTGATTTTTTTGCTGCAACACCCATCGCATCTGAACAGCGTCAAGCCCAGACAAACGTTGAACTTCTACAAACTTCTTCAGCAACAAGTTTCAGGAAGATCTCGAAGACAGAGAGAGAATCAGCTGGAATCGGAATCTGGAGGCTGGCAGTGGGTCAGGAGTCTGGACTTTCAATTTTATCACAAATTGTCTGTGCAATTTTCAACTTAACTATCATTCAACATTCAGGAGGCTTCAGCATAAAGATGCTAGTTGTAAGATAATGTGAATAGTCTTCAGAAAGGAAGGGCCGGATAGGACTACCCATGAATCACAGTGAGTGAGGGTTTTCACATTGCAGGCATTGTCGTTGGAAGCCGGGTTCAGAGTGCCAAAGCACCATCAAGTCCACGAAGGGGAAGAGGAAGGTCTTTCACTGGAAGAGGAAGGGGTTTGACCGGCGACACGGAAATACAGACAATTTCAGATTCTGCCGAGTCAGGCTCTGAACTGGAGGATCCATCAAAACCTCATTCAAAAACTGGTTCTTCTGAGGGAGAGGCAAGTGATGTGCCCTGTGAAGAGTCTGGGGATGAAGTCCTCCATGACGCCGCAGCGCCAGCAGCCGAAGTGCTGGAGAGACCCAGCAGCAGTCATGCGCATGCCCCTGCTTCTTTTCGTCCCAGAGAGAAACCAGTGGATGCGGTTGCAACCTCTATGTGGGATAGCACAACGGTTTGGGCTCACAATATTGCAGTGGTTCGTAGAACAGACACACCGGTTTTTTGGTAATGCATTTAGATAGTTGATTGGTCAGCTTTTCAGCTATGGCTATGGATACTGATACTGATACTGATATCAATATGTGCTATTTTATATTATGTATATTTATTTTTTATTATATTTTATCGCTTAACACAACTTCACAGAACATACACATATACATATATATACATTTTGTATGTTATCTCATATATATAGGCTTGTCCTAACGTTCATGTGAACTTGCAGGGATGTTAACGTTCAGAAGCAGTTGATGCTACGCACGCGCGGGGAGGGGTGGGGGGGATGGGGTGGGATGTTAACGTTCATGTGAACTTGCAGGGATGTTAACGTTCATGTGAACTTGCAGGGATGTTAACGTTCAGAAGCAGTTGATACTACGCACACGCGGGGTGGGGTGGGGGGGGGGGATGGGGTGGGATGTTAACGTTCATGTGAACTTGCAGGGATGTTAAAGTTCATGTGAACTTGCAGGGATGTTAACGTTCATGTGAACTTGCAGAAGCAGTTGATGTTCATACTAATGCTGATGATGATGATGATAATGATGACGATGATGATGATGATGCTGATGATGATGATG